TAGTGTTTTAGATTCGGGAAGTGTGGAGGGAAGGAGTGTCCCACACGCTGTTTTCCTTCAGGAGCTTGTCAGGCTCCCACCCCGTTCCCTTGCTTATAAGAGTGAAAAGAGGATAGAAAATCATGTTTTATGTAAAAGAAAGATAGGTTATTCCAGCAGTATTGCACAGAAATGTGGCAGAAATTGAAACTGAAGGGTGAAGTGTCTCTTAGTAGAGGATGGTTAAAAGAAGTTAAGACTATATATATCCATGAGGGGACACACACACACACACACACACACACACAAACACAAACAGATATCGTGGAGTTGAGAACACACAACAAAAACAAACTGTATAGTCAGTCATACCTGCTTATCTCTGCATAACAGAAAACGCTGGATGAATTCTTACAAAGTTCTTAAAAAAGTGATTTCCTGTGAGAGTAGTCTTACACTGGGAAGCTAGGTTGATGGGGGACAAAAATCGGAGGAAACCTTTTCCTGAATATATCATTTTAAATATATATAGATGAATTATCAGTTCACAAAATTGACTTCCCAGCTTAAGAGTGAGAGGCAGCAGAACACAGTGGTTGAAAATGCAATCTGTGGTGGATCTGGGCTGTTCCACTTCGTGGTCGTGTGAGACCTGGCTGAAGTTCACTCTCCATGCCTGAGTTTTCTCATTGTAGAGCATTTACAACAGTGCCTATTGTCAGTATCATTATTAGCTGTAGGGCTGTTAAAGATGAACAATTCTCATAATGCATCTCAGGAATCTAATTTTTTTAAGTATTAGAAATACCTGATATATTCCTGCGCCTCTGTAATAGCATGTTTTAACACAAGATAAATGCATGTGGAGTTTGAATATCTTTGTCCTTTTTGACCTAGAAACTAAGAGCATGGGCTCTGGAGTACACAGAATTGGGTTCAAATCCCTCATTCAGCTGTTCTCAGTAGCATATTCCTTGTTAGATACAAAGATGTTTGAACTGAATCTACCAGGTTGCCCTGATGGGAAAGAAGACACTGCCCTGAAGTCTTGATTGAAGATACTATATTCTGAAAGACCAAGAAAGATCATTCCTCCATTCATTTTTATATCAGTGTCTCTGGTCCAGTTATGCCTTAGGCAGCTCCTGTTTTATGTCCGCTGTTGCTACAGCAGTCCGGAGAACCAAGTTCAAGAGTGGGTTGGTGGGGTTCTGTGCTTTGGTTTAGCACTGTCCAAGGCAAGGGTTAGTGAGAACCAGACTCACAGCTTCATTCTCATATCAGTTTATGGTATTAGGAACTGAGAACAACTTGCCTGGGTTGTATTCGGAAGTCTGAGCTCCTATGGAAGGTGGGAGTCTACAGTCAAAATATTTCTTTAGTTTTCTATTCCTTCTCATCACAGACCACCAGTTATGGACAACGTATGGTTAAGTTAAAATTTGGCCAACAACTCACCATCTTTAGAGCCTGTCCTTTGAAGAGGTTTCCAGAAGTAGGGTGACCTGCGTTTAATGTATCTTATAGCAGTCTTTCTGAAGATCTTGACCATGTACCAAGTACATAAGGCTCTGCTAACTGGGAGGGGAAATATATTTTGTCCAGTTGTCCTGAGAGACGTGGTTATATTTATGTTAGAGTAAATGGAAGTGCTACAGTGAGGCAAGCACACCCAGCGATCTGTGAGCGTCAGGCCAGGAACCTGGGGCTTGAGCTTCTGAGGCTCTGTGTGCTCTTTTCACTGTGGCTTTCAGCAGTGAGCCCTTGGAATATGATCTTAATAGTTCAGTTTCTTTATTTTAAATAGTTTAACATAGTGGAAAAGCATTACCTCAGAAGGGCTGTTCTTTAATTTTTCGTTTCAAAAGGTTACAAAAATGTGATAGATTGTTGTCATTATTGTATCAGTAGCATTCATATACCCATGTTTTCCCTGCTCTCCCCAAACAATAGGAGCTAAGAGGTTTGGTTGCCAGAACCTTTTTATTTAACGGGGTAATATATTTGGGTGTCTTCATGGTGGAGGTGGAAGCTACAGGCGTGTTAGCGATACTTTGCTCAAGTGTTATTTGTGTGTAGTGACTTTGGCCTTTGTCTTTTATCCTCAGACAAAATTTTAAAGTCATTTAAAAAGGTGTATCATATTTTAAAAATAACATAAAACAGAAATCCTAGAGTTCCCTGGTGTGGTTAAGAAGGTAAGGCTTCATGTATGCATTCAGAATTGAGAGGTGTTTTGAGTTAAGTTAGAGCATTGCAGAGAACACAGAGCCCTCGAGCTGCCTCAGGCAGTGTAGGGTGAGGGCAGGTGCTCTGGCAGCCAGCCAGGTTCGAACAGTGGCTTTGCTTTTTTCTAACTAGTGGACCTCACACAGAGCCTCACTCTCCTGGTTGTGTCATCTTAGTGTCGTCAATGAGCAGGGCCTTACCGAACAACGGTGATATTCCTGGAAGGAGTGCCACAGCTCCTCCTGCCCGAGCGGGCGAGTTCTGTTTCAGGCCAGAGGAGCTCAGACCAAAGCTGCTTGGTACAGCACTCAGCATCCAGGCCTGGGCAAGGCTGCTTCGTAGGGTGGGTTTGATGGTGTCAACGAATAAAGCTTTTGATTCATTGAAGACTTTTTCCTCATTATGAGTGGATGCCTTTAGTGTGTCAAAATAATGTTAAAGTAGTGAATTAGAAAATAAATGAATGCCTTAATGATAATGTTGTTGATAAAATAATGACCCTACTAGTGACTTTAAAAATGTGAATGTGGGGACCAGCAGATGACATAGCAGTTATGTCATTGGGCTCCCACATGGCCGACCAAAGTTCAAGTCCTGGACCTGGTGACTTGAAACTAATGCCAAGCGCACATGTCCGTCATTTCTCACCTTCCCTCTCACTGTCTCTGTCTGTCTCTCTCAAGCAAGTAAACTTGTCCCAAGGCAAAACCTCTTCTTAAAAAATGCAGATGTGGAAGTAGCCTAGGGATTATTACCACCTTTCTGATACAACTGGTTAGGGGTTACGTGAGTTTGCAACTGAAAAAAAAGCCCGTTGCCTTTTTTTTTTTTTAAACTGACATTTAAAATTTTCTTCTGTGAGAGAGAGAGGCAGACAGACAGATACCTGCAACAGGGTCTTCACTCCCTCAGCTAGCTGGGATCATGGGTGTGCATGTGAGTCTGGCATGAGTGGGAGGTTCCAGGTTGTGAACCAAGGACCTCCCCATGTGCATCCAGTTGCCTTACCTCCATCCCACTGCCTGCACCCACTTCTATTATTAGCCTCAATTATCTCAGTTCCTCACAGGTTGCTCTGGGAAGTAGATACTGAGCAGTATTTTCTCAAGCTCTTCTTCCCATTGTTTTTCCTCCTACTTAAATGCTTAAGCAAGAAAAAGAATAACTAGGTATCTTCAACAGCCCGCCTAGTTACATTTTATTTGCACAATGTTGGTATTAAATTAATGATCACTTAATAGGGATTTTTGCTGTCTTTTTTTCTTTTTGAGAGGTTTTCGCTGTAGGGCACATGCGCTCACCAGACAGGCAGAGAGAGACATAGAGACAGAAAGCGAGAAATTACCCCCAGGGGGGATGATCACGCTGCAATCCCTTCTCCTCCATTCTCCTCTCGGGATCTTGGGCACACACACACATGCCCCCAGCGTGAGTTTAAGCCACCGGGTCCAGGACTCGAACCGTGGTCGACTACGTTGGGAGTCCAGTGGCATAGCCATTACACTAACTGCTGGTCCCTTTGCTGTCTTTTTTTAAACGTACATTTTAATGAGTTTTATTTGCTATTGCTTTAATTATGAAAACTCCTTCAAATTTCTAAAATTGGAGGAGATACAGAAATTATGCATTTCATAGTATAGTTAAAACCTGATGGCTAGAAAATACATTTTAAGCATGTCTATACAACTGTTTGCTTAAATCGAATTTACATTTTATGATGTTATGAAACCAGCTTTGGGAGTGCACATGATTCTGGCTTCTTTGTTGGAAGGAGGGAGAATAGAGGATTAAGGCAGATTAGAGTGTTGGGATAATGTCTGATTCCTTGTGTTCTGTGTGCTCAGAAGTAAAATTCCTCCAATCTGAGTGTTACTATGGTGATACCACTGAAGTGTGCTGCTGGTGTGGAGTTCAGGACGGTGCCTTTGGGGCGGTAGACCAGTCAATCATTTCTGAATCCATACATTGTGCCAGCGCTGACATAAGTTGATTGTGTGAGGATTTCTGATGATGCAGAATGGCCACAGCCCGGCAAGATTTGACCCAAATAATCAGTGTCCGGGGAGAACATCTGTCTCATTTCACCAAGCTCCTCTAATAGACTGGATTACACCTGAGAGGCAGGATAATCTGCTGAAAAGGGCACCATCCTAGAGTTTAATAAAAGTAAAAGCAACATTATAGCTCCCATTTATTAAATCAGTCCTGTGTTTTAGACACTATACAGGACACTTTATTACATTATCCTTGGTGCGTTTCCTTGAAGCTATTTCCCTGCCACTTGCTCTGTGAATTTATTTTCCTGCATAGAGGGCTTGGGCCCTCTGGGCTCAGACACCCATCACTTTAAAACAGGGATGGTCACTCTGATGTTTGGAAGAAGAGCTCTGAGTTCCATGAGATGAAAGGCATTACTGTTTATATGGTAACAGCACATTTCTGACATTCTAAGTCTAGAAGCTCATAATCAGTTTCTATCTTGGTCCCCGCAGTGGTCATCTTTTAAGGGCTGATGAGTTATTTCTACATATAAAATGTACCAAGTATTTGAGTGAGGGTGCCTGGTAGTCATGACACACTATTTTATTATTGTATTAATATTTGAATATTAGAATATGAAAGGTGGGCATTATGTTGTTTTTGATGGGAGTGGGAGGTGGTGGTCAGTGAATATTTGTACCCTAGGAAGTGACAAAAAGTTTTGTGAAGAGTTGCTACTTTCTGAGAGGGGGAGAAGTAGGAAGAATCTCAGGAATTTCCCTTATACTTTTTTTCCTTCTGTTCATTTCTAGTCTGTATAACCTGGCTTCACTGGAACTGAGAGAGAATCTTCTTACTTATCTTCCTGAGTGAGTCTCTGGGGAAAATAAGAGGGAATTTTATACTGAATGAATTTCTTCATTAAGAAAATAAAAAGGTCTGCAATATTATGTCCAAAAAAGAGTCTGTATTATTTGGAAAGTTTGAGATGCCTGCCTTCTTTTAATAGACTTTTCTGTGTAATATTTACTACCATAAAATCCAGATGAATCTTACCTTTGCAAAGTAGGCTAAGTGAGGAATATTGTCTTGCTTAACCTTTCTGAGTACTCAAAAAGTGCTTTCATTTATTTCTTTTTAAGCTCTCTTACTCAACTTCGGAGACTAGAAGAACTTGATTTGGGAAACAATGAAATATACAACTTGGTGAGTCTGTATCAGAGAGAGATTGGAATTTCACTTTGCCCTTCATTATGATAGTAACATATTTTAGGGAGGCCTATAGGGAAGAAGCTTATGAAACCAGTATTTGTACTGGTAGCATGGGCACCTTGGAGAATGTGCTTCAGGTCTCACAAGTTAAGAATTAGGGTTTGTGGGGACCAGCAGTTGGCATAATAGCTATGTCGCTGGACTCCCATGTAGTCGACTGGGGTTCAAGTCCCAGACCCGGTGGCTTAAACTCATGTTGGGCGCATGTGCGTGCGTGCCCAAGATCCCGAGAGGAGAATGGAGGAGAAGGGATTGCAGCGTGGTCATCCCCCCTGGGGGTTGATGCCTCACTTTCTGTTTCTCTCTCTCTCTCTCTCTGTCTTTCTGGAGAGCACACGTGCCCTATAGCAAAAACCTCTCTAAAAAAATTAAAAAATAGACTTAGGGTCTGTGGATGGAGAGGATGAGAACTAGACAGATGGGCATAAATAGAAACCATTAGCATTCTTGGGAAAGCTGGGGCGTTTTAGAAGGGGGCTTGATGTTAGAGAAGTACCAGCAAACATCTGCAGTACCCAATTTTTACCTTGTGAATTACAATTCTTTCTTTCTTGGTGGGAGACTGAAAATTGAGTCTTTGTTACCATAACATTATTTATTTGCTTGCTTGTTTGTTTTAGCCAGAATCGATTGGAGCTCTCTTACATCTCAGGGATCTCTGGTTGGATGGAAATCAGCTGTCAGAATTACCTCAGGTACGTGGTACTCTCACAGCACCTGCCCCCAGACAGAATGACGATAAGCCTCGTGTAGTCTTCGATTCTACAGGAGGGTCTCTACAAAAGGATCTCGAAAGTCAAAATAAAATGTAGATTGGAAAGCACATTTGGAAAAATGTATTGAGTATACTTAATTCTACACTGCCATAGAAAAACTGAAAACCACAACCCACATTTCTAAAGACAGAAAATACATCTTCGTTGGTGAAGCCTGTATTTTGTTTCATCCTTGTTCCCCGTCTAGCTTACTTCAAGCCCAGCAGATTTGCAAAATCCTCGGACCCACCATTCTGATGGTATACATTTCTGCCTCTCTTCATGAGGTGCCAAGGGTATTGGGATCATTTTGACCACATTCTGCCCTACAGCAGTTGATGAAAAGCACTTTTCAGAGCTTTTATTTCATATTTCTTCCAAATGTTGCTTGGCTGGCATGCCACAGTATTCAGGGTTTTCCTGCCATCACGAAGTGTGAGAACCGTCTCCGATGGAGTGGAGTCGTGTGCAGACATCTGAGTACACAGCGTCTCGTGGAGTCCTAGTAGGCAGGCCCTTCTTTTGGTAATCAGACAGAAAAACAGAGAAACAGACAGAAACCAGAATAAATAAACAAATGAGACCTGCGGGCAGTTTCCTCTCCTATTTTGTCTTCATCCAACTGTCACTGTGGTCTACTTTATGCGCCAGTCTTTACAGTCAAAATGTATTTATTGACCTAGGTGCTTATATATGTATATTTAAGTAATTATTTATTGAATTTTATTTACTATTATCATTTTTTAACTTGACCAGAGGCAGAAAGAGAGGGGAAAAGCTAGAAAGCAAACCACCAGGTCCGGGACTCCACTCTGGTCAGCCATGTGGGAGTCCACTGCCCCAGCCAGTATGCCACCTGCCGGCCCCTGGCACCTATATTTTTAAAGTAGTTCAGGTGCTGTCTAAGCTCTGCTGTGTAAACCATGTTGTTGGGCTGACTACTTTAGGTGGGAATGCCGTACCTACACAAAGAAGTCTGACACTAGAAGAAGCACTTAAGTTCATTAAACGAAGCAAATATATATCTATATATCTATAATTGACCTGCCCCCCCCCCTTTGTTTTTGGTAGAGAAATTTTTGTTATAGGACACATGCACTTACCAGAGAGACAGGAAATGAGAGATCACTCCCAGGGAGGATAGCCACACCGTAGTCCCTTCTCTATTCTCCTCTTGGGGTCTTGGGCATCCATGCACACTTGCTTGGCGTGAGTTTTAAGTCATCAGGTGTGGGACTTGAACTGCGGTAAACTATGTGGGAGTCCAGCAATGTAACCATTATGACATCTGCTGGTTCCCGGTCTTCTTTTTTTTAAAAAAAAAGTTTATTTAGGGGTCCAGCAGATGGCATAGTGGTTATATCTTTAGACTCTTGCATGGCTGACTGCAGTTCAAGTCTTGGACCTGGTGGCCTCAAACCCACACTGGGAGCGTGTGCGTGCATGCCCAAGATCCCAGGAAGAGAATGGAGGAGAAGGGATTGCAGCCTGGCCATCACCCCTGGGGGTGGTATCTCACTTTCTGTCTCCATCTCTCCAGCCAGTGCACATGCCCTATAGCAAAAAAAATCTGCACACACACAAGAAAAGTTTATTTATTCCATAAGTGAGAGAAAGATGGGCCGCAGGGAGTAGAGAAACAGCACCCTGACAGGGTCTCAACACTGTAGTCCACTCCCAGCTTCTGTCAGCCTGAGTCAGGGGTTCATGGGCAGATGTGTGTCCAGTGCACTCAAGGAGGTCTCTGGGCTTTGAACTGGCAACCTTCCCATGTGGGTTTGCCTTGAAGCATCACACATTAGCCGGATCACCATCTGGCCTCCAACACTAGAGGTTTATTGAGTGGAAGGGTGGTATAATTATAGGAGTAGAGATGGCTTATTTCAGGAGGGACATTAGCCAGTGTGGTTTACAGAACGGGCTTGGGAAGGGAGAGTCAAGACCACAGTCTAAAAGGCAGAGCTAACAGTCAAGGTAAGAGGGTAATGAGAGAAGAAATTTAATATAGGGAAATGGGAGTAAAAAGTGGAGCTGGAAAAGAGAAAACAATACATTTTGGAAATGTCAGGTAGTATAACTTTTTAATGGAATGTTAGACTCCTGGAAGCACTTTCCCCAGTGCTGGATAAACTGTTTTCATTAGAAGCAGGATGCTTTTCTGTTGATATTCAAGATAGCAATGGGTCTGTATACTCCAGTTGTGCTGGGGCGCAGTGGCACTGGCATTTGTGGTGACAGGTGCTACCTACCACAGAGGGAAAATCAAGGTGGATTCGTATCAGAGAAAAGCCCATTGCTTATTCTGCAGTGTAAGCTGCTTACTAGTGATGGATTCCAAATGTGGAGAACTAGATCCTGGCCTCGTTTTATTTGTTCCCAATTGTGTGACCTTGCTGTCGTCTGTCCCCTGGGTGTCCGTCTCTTCATCTAGTAAGTGGGAATGCTTCCTTGCCTGCCTGACGTGGAGGGCTTGGTATCCCTCCCAGCTAAGTGTCTGTGATTCATACAGTTTCCCATTTTCACTGGAAGGGTGTCTAGGAATTGACTTCTCCCTTCACATTTGGAATATCCTTAGAACTTCTTTGGGATTCGGTTGTGAGAAATCACGGCAAAAAGTCCGTCTGCCCTGTGTAGGCCTCAGCATGCCTTTCTGTTCTGTTGCTGATGCAGGAAATAGGAAATCTGAAGAACCTGCTGTGCTTAGATGTCTCTGAAAACAGGTTGGAAAGGCTTCCTGAAGAAATCAGCGGCCTGACTTCATTAACAGATTTAGTCATTTCCCAGAACTTACTAGAAGCAATTCCGGATGGCATTGGTAAGTCATTGAAGTAACTAACTACCCACGTGAGCAACCGCTGCTGTCTCCACATTCTGACCACACTCTGTTCCTCTGGTCACCACTTCCAGGTGCTGGGGATGTGACTCCTTAATATCCCCTACTTCGTTTTAAAGAAGGAAAACAAGGAATAGTTAGTTCTATCTAAGTTTCTCGTTATGCAAATATTCCTGTCCTCCTAGTTTGGTAGCAATTATAGGCATTGTTGCTATTAAGTGTGGATTCATATCTCCTTTTTTCACACTTTGTCTCAATGACTTTGATAGAAGTTGGCCCAAATAATAAGCTTTCAAGGCACATCAACAAATGCTAAGAAGTTTCTAATTCAGCATCATAAATAGTTTATGAGAAAATAACTTTGACTCTATTACATGACCTAGGGAAGTTGCTGTTAAATGAGAAGTGGCATGAATATGAGTTATCAAGAATAATTCTTTAGGGACCAGCAGTTAGCATAATGCTATATTGCTGGACTACCACGTAGTCGACCATGGTTCGAGTCCAAGACCCGGTGGCTTAAATGCACGCCGGGCGTGTGTGCATGCGTGTCCAAGATCCCGAGAGGAGAATGGAGGAGAAGGGATTGTGGAATGGCCATCCCCCCCGGGGGGTGATTTCTTGCTTTCTATCTCTGTCTCTCTCTGTCTTTCTGGCAAGTTCATGCGCCCTATAGCAAAAAAAAAAAAAAAAAAAAAAAAAGAATAATCCTCTAATTTTTCTATACTATTTTCTTCTTTGTTGAAAAAAAAAAAAATCTGTCCAGACATTTCCTTTACTGTAAAAGAACTCAGTGCAGTGTGCGAGATTACAGAGATATGGACAGATAAGGATTGGCAGCAGTTCCATAATAGTAAAGCCACTCGAATTTTAAGAAATTATATTTAACCATAGAGTTGTCATAGGATTGATGTATTTAGCTTTTATTCAAAACATCAAAGGAAATTTTTGAAGGATTTGCAATCATTGGAGAATCTGTCTGACAGAGGACCACTTCCTGTCTGGTGTTTGGCCAGGATGAGAATGGTAACAGACGGTAGCAACTCAGTAGGAACACAGACATTGCCTCTTGATAAAGCTAGCTGGAAAATCATCAGGGATTTTGATTCTTTGTAGAGATGTTAACTGAATCACATATGGTTTCTGAAAGCAGTTGTAGAAACGACCTGTCAGGGCAGTACGTGGCATGGAGGTTAAGGTGACTTAATTCCACATGGTGGACTACACGGTTTGAGTCCTGGACATAGTGGCTTAAAAATCATGCTGGGCATATGTGTCTGCATGTCCAGAATCCTTAGAGGAGAATGGAGGAGTGGGGATTGTGGTATGGCTATCCCCCCTGGGGAGGGTTATTTCTCACTTTCCCTCCTCTTTCTCCCTCTTTCTTTCCCTCTTTCTCCCTCTTCCTCTCCCCATCTCCTTCTCTCTGGTGAGCACATGTGCCCTATAGCAAAAAACTTCAAAATAAGAGAAAACAAAATTGAGTATGTCTTGTTGCTTGAAATAGGAAGAGTAGCAGGCATAAATCAACTAACATTTAAGCCTTTGAGTTGTAGTCTATGGAAGGAGTAATAGAGTTATGTCTTTTAGTTCAAATGAGTGAAATGTGAAAGGATTGCGAATCTCATTCATTTAAGAAAGACCTTTAAAAGACACATGTTAAAATTAGTTTGGGTTAATTAATGAAGACCTGATTGTTCTATCCCTAGAAGTTCAAGGAGAGGTTGAAAGACTGCTGGTCAGTAGCACTGTCAAGAGGACTCCACTTCTGGAGCGGGAGGTCTTGGTGCTTGGCATATGATTCAGTGTACCCTACAGAGACCCTTACACAATTCCCCTTGAGAGCAGGTGCAAACCCCGCAGTGTTGAAGGTTGTTGATTGTGCTACCTAGAGAAGAATTGGTTGCTTTCCTGCCTTGCCCTGTGGCAGTATACAAGGCAAGATAATCCTTTCAGCATTTTCCTTTCTTTCTCTTTATGTCTCTATTAGGATAGAGACTGGCTCCTCGTTTATGGCAGAATTATTCATATTAGCTGTCTTTGGTAGGTCTTATTACCTTGCTTTGTAGGTTTGGTCCCCTGATCTGTGGTTGAAAGGAAGACTGAATGATTTAGGCTTTCCTTCTCTCGGTAAGGACTTTGGGGGGCGGGGGGCTGCTGTTGCTCTCATTGTTCCCCACAGTCTGTGGGCATCATCAGTAACTCAAGTCTCCCTGCCCTGAGTAAATATACTCAGTCTTTAGTATGGCTTTTGGAGATTACTGCCTTATTCTGCATATGTAGACACACTTAGTTATAGGGATCTTCACTAAGTCAATTTCACTTATAGGCGATTTAGTAAATTACATTTTATTGTTTTATGATTCTTAGAGAAAGATGGAAGTCTTCTTCATGTATAAAACATTTCCTGCTCTTAAAGATCTACCAAGAGCTAGCTGTTTTTCTTTAAATTTTCTGCTTCTGATTGATATATTTTAATACCTTTTAAATGATTCATTTCTTATTGCTGCAGTTTTCAATGTTCTAAATAAATTGAACTCTCTCAACCTTTAGTGATTCCAATGAAAATGATATTGTTTCATAATGCGAAAAATTGAATGAGGAGAAAATAAGTAACCATTTTAAACAAAATAGAACAGCAGACAGGAAATACTAGTGATTAGGAAAACAATTGTAACTAATGAGTTTAAATGACGCTTTTGCAGGAAAACTGAAGAAATTGTCAATCTTGAAGGTGGATCAGAACAGACTTACGCAGTTGCCTGAAGCGGTTGGGGACTGTGAAAATCTCACAGAGTTAGTTCTCACAGAAAACCGGCTCCTGGTGAGTGTGTTTGCATACTGTCTCAAAGCCATCTGAGGATAGATTCTACTTATTTGTAATTTAACTGAACTCAATGGAAATTTCCTCAAGTTCCATATCAAACAGGAACTTGCAGAGCAAGTGCATGAGATAGAGAAGAAGCCTACTTAAAATAAGAGGGTGCCTGGCCCCTGCCAGAGATTGTGTTCTGGGGTGGGTCTCACAGTGTAGGAACTGAACTGGCACCTCACAGAGGTTCCAGCAAGTTGTGGGGACAAACTGCTGTCCCTGGATGTGTTGATGCCTCTGCCGTGGTGAACAGAAACCCTGTTTAGGGATGCTTCTGGCCTCTCCCTGGGTTCTTTGAGCAAAGAGCCAGGGAGAAAGAGAAGAAATGGTTGGCAGGGGAAAGCCTTGGTGGGCTTGCGGCTGGGAATGCTCTCTGGGGGGAGCCACGGAACGGCAGCTGCTGGGTGGAGATGGCTGTCTCGTCCCACGCCTGGACCAGGCTTGCCCCACCTCCTGCGGGTAAGGACAGCGTGTGCACCCTGCCCGGGGCAGCTTAGCAGCTGACAGCGGTCTCCTCTGTCCTCTGCCTTCCTGTGGGTTGTTACCTCATCTCAGTTATTGTCTCGGTGTCCCCTCTTCTTACAGCCACTAGCTTTCCTTCAGTTTCCCTTCCTACCTTTCTCTTCTCTTTTCTCCACTTTCACTTTGTGACTTTATTATTTTATTTTTAAAATTTTGCTATCGAATACCTATGCTTGAGGGAGAGAGAGAAAGAAGTAAGAAAGCACCCCCCAGGGGGATGGTCACACCAAAGTCCCTTCTCCTTCATTCTTTTCTCGGGGTTTTAGGACTTGGGGCACCCATGCACATGTACCTGGTATGTTTTTCAAGCTGCTGGGTCCAGGACTCAAACTGTGCAGTCGGACATGTGGGTCCAGCCACCTCTACTATGCCACTGGCTGGCCCTGTCACTTCATGTTTTTACTCTACTTTTTCTTCTCCTTTCTCCCCTTTCTTCCCTTTTCTTCCTTCTTTATACACAGAGTGAGTTGTGCTCTTTAGGGGAGAAGAGCAGAGAGAAGCAGTGAAGAGAAGGCGGAGGCTTGGTGCGGGGAGCCCGGCAGTCTCCCCCTTAGATTGCTCAAGGAACCCCCCTGGGCACATGTGGTGGAAGTTGCCAAACCTCCCTGACCTTGCTTGGGGTTTTAGGCTTACAAATAGGAATCACAACACTGATAGAAATAATATGCCCCTAGATTCCACTGGGCTTTTGAAGAACTCCACACTGGCCCCAGCCTGGTTCCCATAGGGCTCTGCTCCCCACACCAGGTTTACGCACCTCTCCTCCATCCCATTCTGGCCCTTCCCCTTCCCTTGGCCTCGCAGTACCCCTGTATAGGGTTCTGATTCCCTGTCCGCACTCTGGCTTCCTTAGTCATCTAAGCCACCATCCCAGGGTAGTCCTTGAAGGTGCAGGTTGGGCAGGGGTGAATCTTAAGGGTCAAGATTCTCACTTGAATAGAAGGACATTCATTTCCTCTTTTCTAGCTAGGTGTTTCCTGGTTCCCAGGTTTCTGCTTTTAGCTTTGTTACTTTAGAATGTGCTATCATTCAGAATACTTTATCCCACATCCCCTGAGAGAAATGACCAATTTATGATATCCAGGAAAAACTATCGCTTCTCTTGCTGGATGAGATAGTATTCTTTAAGTCCTCACAAAGACCTGTTTTCACTGTGAACCATGTTAAGAATGTGTGTTAATAACAAATACATTTTTTTGACAGACCTTACCTAAGAGCATTGGAAAACTTAAGAAGTTGAGCAACTTGAACGCAGACAGAAATAAATTAGTATCTTTACCAAAAGAGGTATGTGCTCTTAGAGAAATAAACCAATAATAATTATATATTTAAAAATGCCATACAACAGTCTAAGTGCCTAATACTTTCAACATTGTTCTGTGGTGCTTTTGGGAGATGTGAGCTCCGGTCTGGGTATAAAGCTGTTCAAGGAACTGTATCAAACAGTGACCATCACTAACATTAAAGAGAGTTGGGAAAGATGGGTTGACAGGATTTAAGTGGGAGAAGGGAAGAGATTGACGTTTGGGCCTTGACATACAGAGCATGGTGCTACCATTGACAGAAATGGACACCTTGGGCATTTGGCAGAGGAAGCAGGTAATGTTGGTTTGATTATTGAATTTAATGTCTGTTCCATAAGTCACTGGAATAATAAAAACAGGTCTCAGTGCAACCCTGTTACTGGGCAGGGATTTACACGGGACTGTGTCCATGTTGTGGAGGAGAGTGAGCACAGAGGAAGGTGAAGGGAAGGCTGAAGCCTACTTCCTCAGGCTTGTGAGGTTTTTTTTGGTCTTGTTTTGTTTTTCTTTTTTGGTCAGTGCTTCAAACAAGAAAAGAGTCACCAGCCACTGTAGAGAGTAGCTGTGTGGGCTTCGCAGTGTTGACATTCTGACAAAGGAGAGAGAGATGCTTACCTTGAGGAGGAAACCCCTAATAGATCAAGCAACGAGGTATCTAATGTGTTGTTTAAAAAGCAGGTTTAGTTTCTATTGGGAACTGAGAGAGCTGAACTGGAGAAGGGTAATACCAAACTTGATTGTTTATTTTTCTTTTAATAAGCAGTATGAAATAACTTCAAAAAGTTTATGGAAAAAGAAATTAAAGGATGAGTTATTTTGAAATCCATGCCTAGTGTTTTCATAATACACATTTCCCATGAACTTGTTGAAGGCTACCCACATAGCCTCAAGTGTAAGCCCTTCCCTCATCAAGTGAGCTGTTAGCGAACCTGGCCCCGCCTGGGTCATCACCTAAAAGGGATGGTATTTCTTCGTATGGTGGTATCACAGGCCAAGTGCAGTTCTCTTCGTAGTTCTGTTTTGGCCCTTTCCAACATCTGACTTGGAATCATTTCAAAACTGCCATCCAAACAACCACAACTTGACAAGTTTTCATTTTCCTACGTCCATTACTCAGAGTGTCTGAACTTGGCCTGGCTCCCCTTTTCCTTCCCTCGTCTTGCTGCTCTGCCCACAGTGCCCCTTCTTGTCCTTGGGTGTGATGGCCAACATTCCTGAATAGACCCATATGAGCATGTACTATGGATGTGACCATATTCGCACACGTCTCTACTGTGAACACTGGTATCCAAGTAGAACCGTTTCCAGCAGAATGACTAAGACAGTTTTTCAGCTAAATTGGGACACAACTAACAGATTCTGCTAATCAAAACATTTTGGTTCCAGTCTCTAAGTGATAGACCAAAACATGGCGCTGGCACTCTGAACATGAATTTTACTGTGGCCGAGTAGCACCGTTAGATGAGTGATGGACTGGACCCACGGACACACACAGTAGAAGAGCTGTCTTTTTCAGTGTCATTCCATGTACTTGGTATACTTTCAAATATATTAACATACTGAATTCTCCTGTCAGCTTTGAAAGTCATTTTGATTTCCTCACTTTACAGGGAAGGAAACTTAAGGCCGGAGAGCAATTCTCAGTACCAGGGCTCACAGTGGCTAGGAGTGGGTAGGACTGGGCTGCAAAGTTGGATTTCCTGACACCTGGCCCACTGTGTTTTGACCAGTAAAAAGATGGCATTCAGGTGAGACCAACTCAGCCCACCCTTCCCATCTGTGTCACTTTGAGGTAAGAAAGGACCTTGACTTGGTTTATTTTTAGTTTGGACAGTTTAGAGAATGAATGAATACATTTCAGGAGTATTTTTAGGGCAAATGCTGAGGAGAGTACTTTTTTTTTTTTTAGATTTTTTTTTTTTCACT